CACCCTCCCAGCCTTGGCAAGGCCTGGATTTAGAGCATTCCTTGAAGGGAGCCTATACCAGCCCACTGAAAAATTACTGAGTAAGTGAGTATGAAATTTGGGCTTGCTGAAGCATTAGCAGCAATTCAGGTTAACACACCTGGCAGAAATTCCACCTAAGTAACTGTGAAATAATTGCACAAAGATTGAATTTAAAGCCCAAGTATTAATTCCTTCCTTTCAGGGACCATTGCTGACTGCACGCTATCCATATACTGTTTTAAGCAGTTTTAGCACTTTTCAGATGCCCTTGTCATGTCAACCTTTCTTTTTTTTTTAATAGGTTCTTCTCTGGATGGCTGAATTAGCCATCTAGCTCCAGTTAAAACCTAAGTCTGGCTATGATAAGTGTGACTCTAGTCATCACAATAAAACAACTGGTGAGTGGTGAATCAAGATCACAGGAAATCTGTGTAGGAGATGAAGTAAATCACTTCAACCACAGCAGGGCTTTCTACCCCACATCTTTCACATTTTTCTTTTAAATTTAACTTGTGTCTCCTCCCTTGAGAACCCACAAGAGCACTAAGCAAGAACTTAGTGACTCAGATTTAAAGTATTTTCACCTGTACTATGCAAAATGATAATGATGAAAAAGGTATTACTTTCATCCCTCAATATATTTGACTACAGGAAGCATGCAGATCATCTTACCTTTGTATTTTAGATATATTCTTTATAGTTTCACAAGCAATGAAAGTATTCTTAGTTAAAAAGCAAGCAGAATAATTTTGAGTTTTTCAGTAATGCTAACTATAGATTTTTTCCCCTCTCATTCAGAATCTGTAATTTTTGTTCTGTAGAGGCCTTATGTTGTCTTCTCTTTTAAAGATTGACAGAAAAGCTGTCATGCCTTTGGCAGATAGTCATTCATGAGATCAATTTAATTCAGTTTTTAACAGAGCAATTAGAAGGTCAAATATCAGAGATAGCATAGTTTCAAAAAGCTTGAACTGAGCTGAATATAGAAGCCATGAAAATGAGGAACATTTTATTTTTAAATTTAGAATGACGTAGCTGAACAAGTTCCTTCATTTGTGGCCCTCTGCATAAAGTATGCTCAAAAATGACATGTCAATTTAAAAAACCAGATAGTTTACAGAAAAGAAAGCAAATTTCTCTTGTTGGAATCTCTCATTGTGCCCTGAGAAGTTCAGACTAATGAATTTGGATTGTAAGTGAATTAATGCAAATGAATAACATGGTATTTCTCACTTTAAGTGCATATTATAAAGGAAGATTTTAATTTTTCTGCCTTTTTTTTCTTGGCTATTTACAACTTCTTTGGAGAAAATAAAGCAGCTTTTATCATATCAGTGATAACAGGGACTTCTTGAAGGTATGATTGCCCTTGCTCTTCCTCATCAGAGGTTGTTTCCCAGAGTAAGGAGGATACTAGAGTTTTATGTGCCCCCTGCCATGCAAGAATTGCTTCAATAATGGACTTAGGCCAGCTTTACTAAGAGACGCTGACATCTGGGATGCCCTTTCCTACCCAGCTCCCCAGCATGAGTTTCTGCTCTAGTGATGGTTTCAGAACAGGCATGAAGAAAGGAGTTTTTTATGTGCAAGAACCTGTAAAGTCTTCCCAGGACTAGGCCAGGTGCAAAAGGTTTGATCAATTGTGATCACGTGACATGAAAGTTTTACCTTTCTCCGATTAAAGTTTTTACTGTGCTTTATTCAAAGCATTAAATCACTGTTGCCCACCCTTGGGAATACACGTTATTGTTGCTTCAGGTCTCACTGACTATAACATGCTGCAGTTTTACTGAACAAGGCTGACTGAGTCTCAGCTTTACCAAGCCAAAGGAAACAGAACTGTTTGCTTAGAAACAGCACTATGGAAGGATGTAGCTGAGGTATGGTTTGGTTCTGTAAGTTTTACAAATTAGTTTGGATTAGGAGAAATTGAGACAGCCTTAAAAATTTACATTTGATGCCACAACAACTTAGCTCATTTTTATCCATCATGATATATAGGCCATGACATCTTTTTATGCTGTTCTTTAACAAAAAACAGTTCTGACATAGCTGTTTGTTAAATATATGTACAGCTTAGATGGAATCAAGTACGACAGGCTTGAAACAAAACAGGCAATGAAAATTTGTACCCACTATTTAAAACACATTTTCTTTCCTTATCCTCTGTTTTCTTTGACAAGTGTTTGAAATGACAGGTTTTGTATTTCTGGTGCTGAACACAAGCACAAGATGAAGCTCAGGCTGCCTGAGCAGCGATGAGTATCATCAAGGGATTCTCCACTTTCAATTGTACAGCTCACAGCAGTACTATTAAAATAAACAGTCACCACTTTCACAAAGGATTGCAAAACTGGACACAAAATGCCAGGGAATAATTATGACACAAAACCAGTAATTGCCACCTTTCTGCATCTTTTGTCTTCCTTAGTGTTGCCTTGGGGCTGAAAGTGGCAGGCCCTTGAGTGAAAAAAACTGGTAATTAGGGCGTATTTTATTGGTTTTGTTGTTGTTGTGTTTGTTTGTTTGTTTGTTTGTATTTTTCGTTTGTTTGTTTGTTTGGTGACCCTAGTGCTTGAAGGAAGATCAGAGGATATTGTTGCTATTCCATTTCCCAGAACAGAAACTTTCTGAGACTGCTCGGATGCTCTGTGTCCAAGTGGGAAGGGGAAAGCTCCAGGACCAGGAGTGAGTTTCCTTCCATCAGTAGAGAGGAACCCTGTTTTCCATCCTACTGGAGTTAGTGATTTAGTTACCCACTTATCTGACTTCCTAATTTTGGTGCCTAAAGGCAGATTGTGTGAAGCCATTTTCTGCACCAGTGTTTTGCTCTTTTCTGACACATTAGTAATTAGTTTCCCTGTGTACTGTTAAATGAGCTGCAGCGTGTGCAGCAGCCGAGTTTGACTTTTGGGCATAGCTTTATGACAACACTTATGGAAACAGCATTTGTGTTTAGAGACTACAATCCAGAAGGATCTTTATCACTATAATTTGCTATAAAAGATTTTTTGCTTTTTAAGTGAAATAGTTGGCTGAGAATGCCTTTTGCCATTCAGTTTTTCTCTTAACTTTCACATGATCTGGACATACTGTATGGTATTATTACAATGTCTTGTCACTAGCAGGTTATTTGGTTAGTATTTTAAAATACAGAAAGACAAAAGTGGCCAAGAATGAAAATAAGAGAACGAAAATTAAAATAGATTTAACAGGTAAATGTTGAGAATTGGTTTTAATAGGAATACTGACAAAAGCCTTGATATAAGACATTTTCCTGGAGAAAGCACGTATGTTCAATACTGAACAAAAAATAAAATATGGCTTTAAGACAGCTTTTCAGAGCATGCATCCAAACAGAGATGTGGCTCTGCTCAGATGTAGTGAGCACTAAGATAAGCTGAGTTTTGAGTCTTAGTACCAGGCTTACAAAATAGAGCTCCCTGACAGAAGGAGGGGAAAAGTAGCTGTTGTTTTGCAAAGTGTAATTGTTTATTTTCATTACTGCTGGAGCACTGCTGCAAGGGGATGATTTACAGGCTATGACCAGCCTGGGCTTATTTTCTCAGTCATGCAGAAGACTTCTGTGTCAATTGGTCTCTGAGTACATTGTCAGCTTCTACTTTCCCAGCTTCTAATTAGCTAAAGATCATTAACAAGGAGGGCAAGACCATGAGACAAGATGCCTCTCATGTTCCAGGATAAAAGCTAATTATCTGAGTTCAAGAAAAAAAAATGAAATCAACATCATTATGTCGTTTAAGATAATTGCTCACTCTACACAACTCTGGAGCAATTTTTCCATGCTTTAAAACTGTTATTCTGTTCTCTAGTCTAAGTGACCCTGATTTTTTCGATTTTTTTATGTAGTGAGTACCAGGGGTTTTATTTTTTCTGAACTTCTAGGCTTCAAGGTATAGTTTTCTCTGCTTTGGCCTGTCCAGTTTGATTTGTGTCATCCACTGTTTTGCTTCCTTGTTTTGGAGCAGCAGAGCTTTGCTGATACATTCTCAGACAAATTAAGTCCCCTTTTATGGAGCTATTGACTGGTCAATAATTCCTCAAATTAATTTATGCAGTTGATTATCTCTACTCACTCAAAGAGGTTAATTGTGGTGATAAGTAAGTGATTTACTTGCTCTTCCTTTCTGCTGCTCATTTATTATTGTCTCTATGGAAAAGCTTGTGGATGTGTGGATTTGTAGTGTGTATGTGCACACTTCTGGGGAGAAGTCATAAGGGTTCTGTCTTGGGGTCAGGAAATAAAGTAATGAGAAATATTCTGGAACAACTCACCATTATGAGGTGTTCCTCCTTATTATCGTTGTAAAATTAGCTTCTTAAAAATGCCAGAATAGAGGGGTTTGCATGCACCCCATATCTAAATAGTTTTAAGTGAGGCTTAACTGACCCAGCATCTTAAATTGCACCTGTCAAGAGCAAAAACACAAGCCAGGTTTTTCAAGAGGCCCAGTTCCTTAAAGGACACCTGGAGATCAGATCAGGTTCAAGGATGGAGTTTCCCAGGGAAGCTATGGAGTCTCCCTCCCTGCAGATATTCCAGACCCATGGTCCTGCTGGGGCCTGGAGGTGGGACGAGATGACCCACTGTTGTCCCTTCCAGCCTGGCCCGCCCTGTGGTTCTGGTGACACCTGATGCTAAAATATCTGCTTTGGTTTGGTTTGTGCCAAGCAGCAATGGTTATAATCTGAAAAGGGAAAGATTCTGATTCAAAGAAAGATAAAAGCAACTACAGTGCAGTGATTCTGGCAGCAAACAGCGACCCAAGGGAACTGTGAGAGCCCTGTCTCAGGAGGTTTTCAGGATGCCTGGATGTTGTGTGATCCTGAGCTGTCACTCTGAATTTATTCACCTGTATAAAATGTGGGTGAATTCAGTCAGCTGGTATTTTTTCTATGGCAGGCAATTTGCAAAAACGATCTTGAAAAAATTTTTGTTGTACTGCCTTTGCTCCCAGTGATAAAATTCCACTTAAAATTTTCCAGCTATAGTGTCTTGATCGTTGCCTGAACCAAGTGTATACACACCACACTACACCAAAAGCAAATTATGAAGGAAGAAAGCATAGACAAACATTCAATCTGAAAAACGCTTTCTAGACCTTTCAAATAGCCAACATTTGCAGAGGATGAATAGACAAGTTTCCAAACTATTTGCTAAACAAAACAGAGGCTAAATTCTTTATGAATAGGATCAATAATTAAATAGTCAGTCAGCTTTAGCTCTAATTTTCTTTCCCTCTGCTGCATTCCTGTGCTAACTAAATCATTTCAGAACACAAGTTCCCAGGTGACCAACTTTTCTCCCCCCGGTAAATCTCCAAAAGTCAGAGAGGGAACGAGCCTCTTTGGAGGTCAGGTTCATGATTTAGCTTAT